GATACCTTTCACCGTATTTCTCTTACCGCTTCTAGATCCTTTAACGATACTTGTACACGGGAGGAACGGGTTAAAGGAAGGGTTAAAATCGGCTGCTCCGTACGTCCGCGGGATCTGAAGTTTCGGGAAACACGAAAATGGATAGTTAAGCCGGGGCAGATCAGCCTGCCTGGAAACCTCGATGTAACTCGTCGCGTTAATTAACACCAATTTCGGTGAACCGCGCACTTCTCGCCTCTGCGTTTAATGAAAACTTCCCGTTTTCTTTTTCCTACGTTTCTCGATACTTTGCCAAACGAAGGTTAGGTGTCATCTGAATTTCGCGTAAAAAATCACTCTGGGAAAATATTTCCACCGTACATGATAAAGTAGCGATCTGAAGGAAAGTAAATTTCAAATTGTCACGATTCTTCTCGTAGTACAGCGTAAATTAAACGTTCGATTTCGAGCAGGACAATTTAATTCCCCTGCAACCTTTGTAACGAAGACTGGCCATACTTCAACAAAGTACTTGTCGTCTTTAACGAGTATTTTTGTCCTCTTTTCCCACGGAACGCAGCTAAGTCCGCTTCCACCAAGGCGTAACGAGCCGCGGCCTTTATGGCACGCATTAATTAAATTAACGGGATCGTTAATTACGGCCTCGCGCGCTTCTTGAGCCTTTCGCGTCCCACATCGCCGCGAAATCCTGGCAAACGGCTCGTTTCGCAACTAAATACAAGCGAAACGTTGAAGAGCTCGTACACTGTGTAGTTTCTCCCTATCGTATCGACCGGACACTTTATTCGCCGGAATAAAAAACCGAATTTTCGGTGTAAGAAGAGTAACGAAACGGCGAAACTTCCCGTGAATTACTCTTGGCGAATAAACGACGTGGAATACGACGGTAGACAGGTGTTTTGGACTTGGAAGTTGGCGCTGTTGCACTTTCCAAACAGGCGCATAGATTTTCCATAAGACTGGAGGAACGTAGAGAGCGAAATAAGAAAGCGAATAATTCGCCACGCGAGATATCAGCACAGACGTGAAGTTCGATTTATCCCAGATACTTGAGGATTACGGTGATCTGTTTCAGCCTGACTGGCGAAACGGTGAGATAATAAGAAGCGATCGCGAGTCGCGTCACGCGCTCCTTTTTACTACCTCCTGCTAGCTCCTTTTCCTACAGGGTGTATCGACGTTTCCCAGGATTCGTAATAACATTGAAATTCAATCCTACCGGCGCGACGCAACGATCGCCGCGTGCTCCTCGATCGTCGTCCTTCAGCCTTGCTCCAATTTTCTCGTAATCTGTGATCCTGGATCCGCGGTAAAACGGCTGAAGTAAAGTAACTAAAACCGGCGAATTTCGTACAGCGAAGCTTTTACAATAATACGAGAGAGCTCGTCTGATCGTGCCGATATCGCGAATCCCGAACCGGTTCGTATCTCTTCGCGTTTAATCCTATCGAAGCGACGAGAAATGGCTCTAAACGATCTAGCAGAAAAAATAAGGGAAAAAGAAGACAGTGGAAAGGGAAAGGATGAGAAGAAGGTGTATTCGAGTTTGGCAGATGAATTGGTAGAATCGGAGAATTTGTGGATGATAAAGGACACGTGTAACGCGTCTACTAAATCTACACACGGTGTATATTCCTTTCAAATCCTCGCAGCTGTGTCAATAAGATTTCACTGCATTACTTGCATCCCGCGTTCGTTCACCGGCCCTTCCGCTACACTCTGCCTCATGCCAACGGTAGAAAAATTCCTTGGAAAAAGGTCAGCCTTTTCTGGCGCTAGCTGTACGAAGGAACACACCGTGTTCCTTTGCCAGTGACAGGGACGAATGGAATTCGCGACGTCAGAAGGGGAGTAGCTTTCCGTAGCCGGCCTTTTCCTGCCAAGAACTTTGAAAAAACGGCTTTGCCTCGCATGAAACATTTATTTTCACCGACCTACCCCCTCTTTCGAAACCGTCTGAAAGAGCTGGAAAAATATTAACCGGCGGAAGAATATAACCAACCGACACTGTTTTTTTTTTCGGCATGTGATTAAATTTCGAGCCGCATCGAAATTCGTACCTTTCCTTTGGGTGCCACTTTTTCCCTTCCGCGCGACCCCTGCGGCAATTTAATCGCGATTTAAACGCAGCTCATTCCCTACAAATCACGGAGTTATTATTACGAGTGCGCCTACACACCGTTGTTTTATTAATAACACCCCGGTAACTTTCCGCGCTAGTCGGCCAGCCGAGTAAACGTACAATTAATTTTAACCCCGAAAGTTTGCAGGCTGTTCAACAGCAGACGGTCTTTCCTCGCGTCCTCATGTTTTTCACGCCGACGTCCCTTTCGCGGGAGAAACAGAGATAAGGGTGAGATGGTCGTTCGACGCCCGGAAACGAGCTAGCGCCGCGTGTTTCCGCGCAGCGCGAGAAAACGGCCGCCCGCGTTCCTTGTAGAGGAATGGTACCGCGAAGAAATTACTTAAGCGTCGAACACTAATCTTTATCTTTTATAAGCAGGTTTACGCTACAGAGGTGACTCGCGGAGTTAGGAATTTTCGAGGTTCTTTGCACGTTGGTGTCTACTTGGGGAGGGAGGTCTGAGCTAGGGTTCGAGGATAGTCAAGAATCGGTGATCGAGGATGAGTAAAGATCAGGGTTCGAAGTTGAGTAAAGGGTCAGAGTTGACGAGAGGGAAAGGTACGATTTGGTGACCAAATACATTTGAACAAATACATTTTCTTTCTTTGCTTCGAACGCGTGACGGCACCACTCGTTTTCAGGCGATCACTCCTATAATGACAGTCTTTTGTTTTGTTTTTTCGTTGTCCTAGGAGGTCCGTCATTAGCGCGACGCAACGTGTGCGTCGTCACAGAGTATATTCGCTGTAATTCTAGTTTCGTATTAAAGCGAATAAAGCGCTCTGCGCGGTTAAAATTTAACAGAACGCGCCGGATAATAGGAAGGGAGAAAGTCATCGTTATCTTAGGACATGTGTTTATCCTAACAGTACTCTTTCACCGTCCTTTAACCACCCTGTAACCGTGCCATTTGCGCCGTTTTCCCTAAACATCGTTTCCCCTTTCGCCAACACCGACGCACACACCACCGTGAAAGAGAACAACACGCTTGATAACGACGACGCGGCGTACTTAGAAATCGTTTCCACCTTCGTTCTCCTCTTTTCCAGAGAGAAGCAAACGTTTTTCCTACACGGACAATTCAGAACGGTGATGCATCGTACTTGGAAGCGGTTGGAAGTCGTTTCGACGAAGAGTATCGCGGGTATTTTTACGCACTCTCCCTCGTAAAACGCGTACTTTCGTTTACCGCCTACTATTTTCTTCCCTGGTTAGAGGGTACGGTAATGGCAATAATCATATCACATATAGAAGGAGAGGGGAGGTTGGTGCGTTAAGGGATGAAAGTGACAAGAAATATACGAGGCAATTACTCAGGAGGAGAGATCGGGACGGTGCTCGTAAAGTTTCGACACACGCGAGTGGCCTTTGTAATTAAAAGTGTGTGGACGCGAGTACCAGGTTTACTCGTTAATGGCTTTACGACAGAGAAAGGGGTGGGAAAGGCTGCGAAAACTGTCCTATCCTCTGTGTACAGTGTTCTTAAATCTGGAGGAACGACTGAAGGAACAAAAGTATTCCCCCGACAGTGGTAAAGCTTTTCAACTTTGTCCACGCGAACATTTCATTTATTCCCCGTTTCTTCTTCTTTGGTCTTTCTTCATGCTTGATGAATTTTTCTCTCTTCTGGTTCACCTGACGTTGGAGAGTCTAGATCTGAAATTTTCTCTAACGAGTGACGTAAAATTGATTTGAAAATTACGCGAGTACAGGCCGGAGGGGCCTTAAAAAGTTATCTCTCGACGGGGCGTTAACTTACCGAGTTACGATATTAGAAAGCCTGTATCTCGGCTTAATGGGATCGAGACAAAGTGGCCGTAGAAATTCCGCCCGCGATGAAACCGGATAACACGATAGCTAAGCGGTATCGGGCAACTTTAAAATTACGTCAGACGGCCTGGCAGTCGACAACGGAACTTCATTTCGAACTCTCTCGTTAACTTCTCGCCACCCAACTCCCGCCTTCGTCCAGATCGAATGCTCTGCCTGGCTGACACTCCGATTTCCCACCTTCTTCCATCGGACTACCTCTCGAATTTCCTCTCGCGTTATATCGCGGGAAACAAATATATCGAACGAATTAAACTTGTACCTGGCGACGAGATACCTGTCACAAAGGCGCACAAACGTCGAGCCATTATTTTTTCAAAATTTACCCCCAACACTTTCAGTTATTTAACCCTCGCAGGACGAACGCAGGGTCGTTTTGGCTCGGATTAGAAAATACACCTATTTTCTATCTATATTATAAATGTAAATAATGGGTTAAAATGACCCTGCATTCGTCTGTAAAACCATTCGCCTTCCGAGGGTTCAAAGAAACTAACGTTTCCAGAAAATTCTTCGGCACTTTTCTCCAAATCTCGTACAGTTCCGTATATATTCAGGATAACACGAAAATTCGCAATTTTTCTGATGCTTTCAAATCGTTTTCACACGCGAGTCCACACGATCTTCTACCATCTATCGCAGTTTGGCACCAGCCCATTGAAACGCTCTGTACAGGGCGGAGCGTTAAATTCGCGAGAGATTCGGCTGATGTTGAGAAAGGGGGAGAGGTCAACCATCCCCCGTGTTTGAAGTTGAACGGTGAATAGAAAGGGGGAATTCGTAAGAACGCGAATTCAGGGAAAAGAAATTTTCCTTCCTTGATTGACGTTCAAAAGGAACACTCCGCCGCTGCCTTTAACTTGAATTATGAATACAGAAAGGGGCAGGAGGGCTCGCGGGAGAATATTTCTGCGTGAGAAGAGGCATACGTAAATATTGACTTCCTTAACTGACGGTCGCCCATAACTTCCTCTACCTTTCCAGCCACGTGATCGCCGAAAATTCGCATAAACTATGGTAACGATTCAAACGTCTTCCCACTCACCGACTCTCCATCCTGCACTTGCCCTCCCGCGCTTTGCAGTTCGTTTTGAAGTCCTCGAAAATCTGGCTGCACGGTTTGCCGCGTAAACAGACGCTCAGCGCATGATTGCAGGTTGGCAGAGCGTCTATAGGATACGGGTCTTTATCTGGAAGAAAAAGCACGGTGAAATTAATACCCTAGCCTACCGAAACTTTCGAAGCTACTTATCAATTTACGTCAATATCGAGCCAGCTGCTAACTTTCTCTACCAAGTCGCTATTAATTACAGTTCACTTCGATTTGGTAGATTTAGGTAATAAAAGATTCGTTAAAAGTTTCCTGCGAAAAGAGGAAAAATAGCTGGAAAGGTATCGTTGGGTTATCAACGAGCGGAAAATTTACGGCTGCTCGGCGCGACGTAACGCGGGAAAATAATTGCCGGTCTCGGCAGGGCGAGGTTCGCGAACGTACAAATATAATGAAAAGACGCGTCTGCAAGAGGCCAGGATGAGAAATAAAACAATAAGGAGTCGACGCGGCGGCGGCCGCTGGGCGAAAAAAGAGGAACCAGAAAATAATAAAGGTATTCTCTTATCAAAGGAAGAAAGGAGTGGCGGGACAGGGGTGTGTTAAGAGGCTGGAGAGGAGAGATTTTTCGCGGATAAAAGGAAGAGGATTGGGAAATTTCCCGTGAATAATTTCAAAAGACCTTTCTCTCCCCGCCGTTCTCATCCGCCGCCCTTGCGAAATCTTCGATAATAAAAACGATCACAATTAAACGGCGGACTAATTCATTTAGACCCTGGGAATATCCGAGGGCAGATAGTGGGGACTGAACGAAAAAAAAAAGAAGGAAAAACGAGAAAGAGAGAGAGGAGAAAAGGATCGAGTGGTAGTCGGCGGCTATATACTCTATTTCATAAATTACGAACGGAGGGAAAGCATCGGCAGAAATGCGCGCGTGAAATATATAAACAAAAGGCTCGATGGAGCAAGGATAACGGAGGATGGAAGAGTAGAGGAGTTTCGCTGGCGGAATTGACAGGCAGGAGGAAAGCCATTCTTTTAGCATCGGTAAGAGCGAAGACGGAAAGAGAAAACTGGCCGAGGACAGACGAAGAAGAACGGAGAAAGGAGAGAGTAAAAAAAAAGAGAAGGATCGCGGCTGGAACAGCGAGCGTGGGTGAAAAGAAGCGCATTGGGAATTATCCGTGAATCGTTCGAAAATGCTCAAAAGACTCGACGGCCCGGACGAGCGAGCCCTCGGGAAAATGAACAATGGAGATCGCAGGAGAAGCCGCAATGGTGCGGAGGTTATATAAGGGGCCGCAGTCAAAGATATCGCGATCCCTTTGTTTCTTCCACGAGAGAGCCGCGGCCGGAGCCCCTCTTTTCATCCAAAGGAAATACCCGACTGAGTGGCACCTCGATCAAATTTTCTCGTGTCGCGTCCATCCTGCTTGCCTACGACAAACCTCCGGATAACTTTTCCTGCGATTAACCACGGCAAATGTGCCTCCCGGAAGATGGAACGGGACAATGCTAGATATACCTGCGATTCTTCCTTCGACGAAGGAATACCGAAAGAAGACCTAATCGATAATTAAGTATTTCTATTTTTAACTATACCAGCGGTGTAACGGTCATCAAAATTTCACCGCGGTGTAGATAATGCAAAACCGTCGGTGAACAATGATGGTATTAAATATTCGTTAGAGTGCCTGAAAGTGTCGATGTACGGAATACAAGATTTTATCGTGAAGCGAGGACGACGCGCGTAAGGGTTGATTTAACACTTTTCAGACAGGATCAAATATTCATGAACAAGTGTTGCGGAGAATGCGTGTAGGTACAGGGGAAATCGGATTAAGGTTAGGCGGGAGGGAGGGAGGAATCGTGAGGTAGTGTTTGCGTAAGATTAAAATTTTCATTTCGAAGGGAAAACACGAGTGTCTTGAGAAGAAAGCAATTAAGGGAGGAAATAAATGAATCTCACGTCTCGCGGAATTTCGTTGCCGGTGCGAAACACTCTGGGTTCGAGATGTATAATTTCGTACCAACGAAAAGCGAGAGAGAGAGAGAGAGAGAAAAGTAGAAAAAAGAAAAAAAAACAGGAGAAAACGTGAGGACTTTTCCGTTCGACAGGAGGCTGTCAGAAATTTTCCAATCGAGATGGTACATTAATTCGAAACGCTAACACCGGTGTAATCAGCGTAACCTGAAATAAATTACTCCGCTAGCCGAGTGGAGGAAGCTCGAGAGACAGCGGATCGATGGGAAACGAGGAGATCGAGAACGAAACAGGAGAAGACGCGGCCTCCGAGTGGTTCGCGCGCGGGGTTGGGCCGAAAGAAGAGGAATAATTCGAGAGTAATGAGTCGAGCAATTAGAAGAGTTTGGCCAGAAGCTTAATTACATTTATCCCGGTGTATAAGCCGGCAGGGTCGGCTGAAAGCCGGTCATACGGGGAGAGAAGGCAACGTGGATAATGAAAGCTCCCGCGCCACAGCTGCTGCGAAAACCAGGAAGCTTCGGCACTTAATGAGATTAAATTCGCTCTCGTGCTTCGAAAAAAGGAAACGAAGGAAAGGGAAAACTGGCGGGCCAAGCAGAGCTAGGAGCGGACATGGAGGAAGAGAAAGAGGGTGGGGAAAAAAAACAGAAAGAAAGAAGGAAAGAAAGAAAGGAGGAAGGAGGCCTGGCAAAGGCACGCGCCGACTCTCCCTTTGCCCTTCGTTTAAACGCGCGAAGATCCGCGCGCGCGTTTCTCTCATTCTCTGCCTCTCCCTCTTTCTTTCTCGCGAAGTCAACGTCAGTTCCAGGGTCCACTAAAAGCAACGCGTTCCAGCTTATGCAGCTGGAGGCGCCTTTGAAGCTTTCGACGAGCCATAAAAAGATCGCAAAGGGAGGGAAGAAATCGGTTCTACGCTTTTCGCCTTGATGCTACTGCGCGCGTAACGTGTTGCGCGCAAGATCATCCTGCTACCCTCGCCACCTCCCTTTTTTCACCGGTAACACTGCTTCAGACGATTTGCTTGGCGAACGTTAATGGCGGTCTGCGAATACGGAATAATTGAAGAGGGGATGTGTTTGATTAAACGATGAGTTTTACATTCAAGCTCGGGGTTACATTTTCCGAATAACGTAGGTGGTCTGTGTATAATTTACAATACTACTCGTATATACTGTGCACTAGAATGCGCGATAAAGTTATTTATAACTGCTAATTAAGATCCAGACAGGTCGTTGAACCAACCTCTATTTTCCACCGAACGTAACGACCGGGACCACTTTTCTCGGTGGAGGTTTTAAAAAATTGATCGACCACCGTGGGATGAATTAGAACTCGAAAAGCGAACTTACATGACACAGTTGCGAGGGGAACGAGTGACACGCGACGTGAGAATTTAAAATAGAAATAGAGTTCCAAACAGGTCTGACGCGAAAAAATATCGAATACTATCTCTCTCGTGGTAGTCGAGATAATCTTCTTCTCCGCGCGAGAGAAGAAGAAAAAAAGGAAGCAGAAAGGGAGAGAATGCGAACAGCAAATATCGCGAACGATTTAAAGAGGAACGGATTCCGGTGGAGGACGCTCGAGAGACTTCTATTGCTCGGTCTCGTTCTTTCACCTGGGCCTCGAGTGCGTAGCAAACGGAAGTTAAGGTTAAACAAGAAACGAACGCCCAGCGCAGGGATTATTGGGAACCATGGCGCGTTCGCGACTCGTTAAAAGTTCCCAAGCGTCGTCGACCGAGTACAGAGAGAGAGATCGAGGCCGTCGAGAGGAATTTCCTCGACGCCAGCAGTCGGAATCCCTCGTTACAATCGCGACTCGCGATTAAACGCTTGTTAGAGGATTAACGCGTGTCGCGCTCGCTCCCTTTTTCACGGCGACTAGATTGATCTTAATTGATTTTCCCTGTCCTCAACCATCGATCACATTTCACCACTGCCAATCACCTCGCCATTTTATATTTAAACAAAGAGATTCGTCTCTTGTTGAAGTGCAGAAAAACTTACCCTTTTTCAAGACGAAGATGCAAGGGTGGTCGAAGAGGAAGTTCTGGAAGCTGTTGCAGTCCGGATCTAGGTGCGGTTCCCTGCAGAGGCACGTGGGGCGGAAGAAAGGGAAAGCTTGCAGAGTGTGCAGGGCCGCTTGACACTTTGTCACTGTCACCGTCGAACAAGCCACTGGAACAACGAAATTATTATTAAGCGGGTCTGCCCATTACTCGTGACAAATACGCCTCCATAATGCAATGCTGTTTGTAGTTTGCGAATAAATTTCGCGAATCTCTTCAATCAACCGTTTCTCGTAAACACGTGATGATACGTGTTAATAAGGGACACGTTATTCAAGAATGTCAACGGATATCCTTGAAATTCTACCGATTGTAAAACGATTGAAACTTTCAATAAGTTCGTCTCTTCTACTTTCTGCTGGTTCTCGGGTGGATTACATTTCTCGAGCAATAATTGCTGCAACATCGGTAATGCCTACTTGTAGAAGACCGCGAAGTCCTGTCGAGAAATTCGGTGTAACTGGAGCCGGAAGGCTCGACAGAGAGATTATCGCGCAAGAATGGAAAGCTCGCGTTACACCGCAGGGAGCAATGGGAAGTCCTATAGTTGGGAAACCGACGATAACACTCGAGGTGCCACGATCGTTTCAGCAACACCGGCTCAACCTTCTCTACGAGCCCGTATACCTTGCACCTTCCACGTCACGATCGCAGAATCCTCCCACCTCTACCAATTTAATACCAACAATCTACACACATAGAGTGTATTCGGTAAGGATAGAACGAAATTCGCAAGCTTTCCTTTCTGTTTTTTTTATTACAGGTATGAACACGGGAACAAGGTCGCACGTGTATACTTCTCCATCGAGGAATTATAATAAACGACATCAGGCACGCTAGTAGGTGTCGTGATATATTCGTTCCGCGACAGTGAAAAATTCATTTCTCGCCTGAGAAACGTGGCTCCGCTTCGAGAACGCGTCGTAAACGCGGCTGACCATTACTTAACCGGTCGAGAGAATCCAATCGATCCGAGTGGCAGCTCTGGAGGAACACCGGGTACAACTTCTTCCCGGGAAGATGGTGGAAAGATGGCAAACAAAGGAGTCAGTGCTCTATCTTAAATTAAGCATTAACTTCTGACTGCCGAGGAATTTTACTTCCTTCGGTACGGTATCTTTTTCCCCTTCTTGCCACCTTTATTTCTCTCTGGTGCCTGGCCTGCCAGCCACTCTTATTTTCTCGTCGATGTGGAAATTAGGTCGCGACAAAACGGGATGGTTAACGCGGTTTCCATTGCCCCGACGTCGTTAGGCCGTCGAAAAAATGTTTCGTCGGTCGAACAGAGAGAAGTAACCCAACCTTGGCCGAACCTCGTTTCTCGTCACGTTGAAAACTGCGAGGATGATTTGTGGATCGAGAGGGTAAACGGAGAATTATCGGTGACGACAGAGGCGCGCCGATATTCGGCGCTAAGGAAGGTCGGAAAGCGCAAATTGAAAAGTTTCGCTTGGCTCGTCATTTTTCGATCTGACATTCGACGGCTGCGACGACATCTGGATTCATTACTCACACCCCGCCGCCGCTGCTGCTCGGTTATTACGAAACTTACGGTGTCTTGGAATAGTAATTAAGGCGCCCTCTCGTTCCCATTCTTTCTCCGAACGACGCTGTACTAATTAATCTGCGTACAGGAGAATCTCGAGAGCGGTAGTAGGGAAAAAAAGAAAGAGAAAGAGACGAGAAAAAAGGAAAGAAGGAAGCAAGTTGAAACTGTTTTAACGAGGAAATATTTTAACTCCTAAAATCGTCGCGCGAGTAATTACCACGGCTGCCCGCTCTCATGAAACAGCGATAATCCGAATCTTGGTGCTGATAAATAAATCTCACAAGGTACGGAAATCATTTCGGAAATTCGAGGACTTTGCTAATCTTCACCGAAGAATTTCAACGAAGACCGAAGGATCTCTAATCGACGAAATTGATAACGTTACGCCGTATTAAAAGCGTCCAACCTATCCTCTTCCGCTTTCATATTTAAATCGGACAATTTAGTACCACTTCGGGGTAATTGTATCGACCATCTACGCCAAGAAGATGCGGATCGCGGGAAAACCTCCCAGTGGAACTAGTTTTAGCAAAAGATAATACCGCGGAGGGGCAGTTGGCTGTAATGAAAACAAAATCGATCCTAACACTCGATACGGAACCGATACAATTCGAAAACTGCGGGGCCAATACCAAGCGGAGCTTTAATAAAACATGAAGCAAATCAACTGTACCGAAATAAAAGTATACGGACCAGCCACAGGAAATAGCTGCGAGAAGGGAGGAGTAGGATGAAGGATTGATAAAAAAGAAAAAAAGAAAAAAGAAGAATGAAAATATCGTTGTAAAAATTTCCGACGTATTACTCTACGAATTGATAGCTCCCGTAGAAAGTCACAATACACGGTGTTGCACAAAACCCAGGATCTGGCCGCTTGCAACTGCACGAATACTGATATCGTACGTTTCACCCCTCTCTCTCTCTCTCTCTATCCTTCGCCGTTTAATGCTTCCTGCTACCACACGCGCCTGTATGCACCGCGAGAACTCGCATGGTCAGTGCTAGATAGCGACTTCGGGGAGAGAAGGAAGGAGAGGAAGCAGCCAGAGAGAACACTGGCAGATCATACGTACATACGTTTGTACAATTGTGCACCGGCCATCTGCATTCTGCGAGCTAGACCACGCGCGGACCACTGTCCGAAACACGCGCAAACCCGCCTCTATAGAATGTATCGAAAGCTATTCCTCTCTCTCTCTCCGGCTATGTTTCACCTCGTTCCAAACCTTTTCTTCCTCGGCTATCGAAATTTTCATGACGGTCATTGAAAACAAGCTTTACTCCGTTCGAACATTTACAAGAACGCAAGAGGAAACGGGGTTACGTTCTCCCTCGGTGACCCAGATACTGCCTTTTTCTACCTTGCAACTTGAGGAATTACAGTTTCCACAGTCTCATCTTTCAATCAAACGTTTTCTTCGTGACCACCGCGCGGGATCATTAGTCTGGCTAAATGAATGTTCTTTTGTCCCGTGGCGGAAAGCTCGGTTGCGAGAAATCCCCGGGGTTCTTCCTTTCTGTTTTCATCGCGATTTTTACAGCCGTGAAAGGAATCATTGGCCAGGCAACGGAGTAAGCAGTTCCGCGGGCGGTGGGTGTCATTAAAAACGAGGCGGTACTATTTCGTAGGTAACAGCTTTAATTCAGACGGAAGTGTTCCGGTTTTTAGCCCAGATAACGACCCTATTATATCGAGATCACGGTAGGCAACTCTTTAGCGGTATCTCGGAATGTTCGCCGCAATACGCGGAGATTTGAACGCGATAGTACCGCTTTGTATTTACCCCGAACCACCATATTCGTTGCGCGCACATCAAAAAAGGAATTGCCTTTTTTTCCCACACGCCTCTCCGTCTGTTTTCTCATTCGCCTAGCCGCGTTGCACAATGCGACGCGACCATTGGGCTACTCTTATCCTGCGGTTACGTTATAAGGGGTAGAAACAGCTAATTACTGTCCTCGTTGCGAAAATTGATCGCCTGACGTTCTTTCCACATTTTTCCCTCGAAGCTACCTGCGCGGATATAGAACATCGAAATTTAATTAAGGTAACGCAGAACGGTCCGTTTTCTTCCTTTTTTTTTTTTTTGTCGTGACATGGGTAACATAAATTGAAGTCGCTACGTTGTCGTGGAGAAAAGGAGCCGGCGAAAAAAAGTGGTCACGGTCCACGAGGCGTGTTGGAGGAAACGCGAGGTTCAGGACGAATTTATCAATACTTCCACAATTGCGTCCCTCCATCGAAACGAAACGAATCGCTTTGCCCGTTGCATCCATCTCGATATCCCGGTCAGCTAATTTATCATAGTCTCTCTAGGTGAAAATGTAGCTATCCCGATGCAGTAACACAAACGCGTATCCCGGAGGAAAATCATGGGTCTGTATCGTTGAAACCATCGGGAGCTGCCTTTACATCAAAGCGACCGTGGAATGGAGGCAGCTTAACCGATGTAAAGAATATCAGAATATATATGCATACGTCGAAAGCGGGAAGATACGGGGGGGGAAATGGGAAGTACTCGGCCGCAAATGTAATTACAAGGTTTTATTAAATCTGTCACGGTGAAACGAGAGATAATACCCGTATAGCGTAGGATGATTTTTCAATTTTTATTAAAGAGAAAATGGTTTCGATTCTTGGCCGGTTACAAAGCTTGGCACATCGACTTTTGATTACGCCGCGACCCCGTTATTCCCTATTCTCTTTCACCTTTTTTCCCCCCATAATTACCACAAAATCCGCGTGGCCTGTTCGTTGTTCCGAACTGTAACATATTGTTCACCCGCGGAATATTCCCCAGCCCGTTGGCAAGAAAAAAAGGATAAAACACGGAGGGAAATACGCGGGATATTAAATTACTCCTACATTACGAATCGTGAAATTTTTATTTTTCAACTGTACGCATTATTCCCCGTCTCTCCCCCTCTCGCCCCTTCGTTCCACGTCGAAGCTTTAATTATCAGAATATGTCGCGGGAATATCGCGCGATGATGAAGAGAGGCCGCCGCGCTGATAAAAAGCACAACCAATCGGTGGGCCAGGGCCGTCGCCGGCGTGAGTTATAATTCACCGATGGGGGAAAATGGAGACGAGTTGAAAAAAGCGGAAAAATGTGTGCACACCAACGAATACAAACCTCTCCGTCTTTCTCGCTTTAGTCGCACTTCTCCTTTTCCTATCTATGCACTTCTTCACGCCGCGCAGAAAGAGAGACAGAGAGTTCACCTGGGGAACACACGCAGCGTACACGTGTGTGTCAGAGGGTCGCGTACAACCGTGCAATTTTCCTTTCCCCGTCGCGCTATCTTTCTCCCTCGCAAGGCTATTGTACTCGAGAACTGTGCACGCCGCTTTGCCGTAACAACGTACATTGTATTTTCGAACAATGGGATCCTTCTGCCTCCCTCCCGCCGTCACCCCTTTCCGCCCTCTTTGCCACCTTATCGGTCCTTTTTTCGAAGGCGAGACCACACTTTCCGCGCTTATTAATGGCGGTGACCGACCGCGATCACGTTCTACAGGCCGCCCCATAATACCAGCGATCATCCTTGTTTAACGGATCGACAGAACAATCCAGCCAGCGGTACGATTTTCGTTCGAAGAATTTTCATCCTAGCGCATAAACGAACAGGAGTCCTACGTTCAACGAGAATTCACGAGAACGTATATTTTGAGAGGAGCTGTAGAACGCGATTTGAGTTATTCTCCATCTCTTCGTTCCTTTCTCAATGTTTGCCAGAGAATATTTATTATTCGGGGATTAAACAGCCGGCCGAATCGTTCCGACGTCAATACCCCCTTTGTCCAATTAAACAAATAGCCCCCGCGTCATTAATGGATGATTTCGTTATTTGCTCTCTACACAGCCGCCTCGTTCTCCGAACGCTTGTGTTCAAAAGAACGTCGGCTCGGATCGAATCGAAACAAATTGTTCTCCTCGATTCTCGCGGAAATATCTCGAAGCTAGTTTTCGCGGAGCGATTAAAAAGTTAGCCGAGCGTGAAAATATGAAAGCGACGAAAGAAACGTCTGTGATGTTTCACGGCGATGAAACTTGGAGAACTTCCCGAATTTCATTCCGAGGGTGAATCTCGCGCTCCTTAAAGTAACGCTCCTTTCTATCTATCTCTCTCTCTTTCTTTCTTTCGCTCGTTCACCCGATCAAGCGAGACCGTCGAAATAATTAACCGTGTCATTCGGAGGGAAACTCTAGCGTGAATTGGAAAGGAGCACTTAACCGAGGAACCGGAACAAAACGAGTGACCAGACGAGTATTCTATTCGTTGATTTGCAATCGACGAAGCAACGACAAAGTTTTCGTTCGCTTTGCCGTTACCCCTTAATCGAATCGGCAAGTCTCCTGAGAAACTTTCAGCCAGAAATAACCCAGGCGAAATCGAACAAAAGGAAACAACTAACGGTTGAAATGTCATCTGAAACTATCAGAGATTTCTCCTTTTTTCTCTCTCTCTACTGATAAGGGGTTTGGCTACATTCGACGGATAACAGGGTAGCGAGTAACCTAAGGGATGTCTATCGCGTGTGTACTTGGCCCCGGCGAGTTTTATGCCTTAGGGACTAGGTTGTACGCAACGTGCAACGATATCGCCGCAATTCGTTCGCAAAGTGATTTTCGTTCGTGCGCATAATAACCAACGATGAGGCAGAAATTTCCCTCTCTCTCTCTCACTCGCTCTGTTGGTGGACGAACGGGGTAGAGCAGCGATCGAGGGTTTAACGGAAGGGTGGTTTGTCTACCGGTTGCCATAACAAGGGACGAAGGGCTGCGCGCTCGTATATTCCGGATCATTTTACCGTATAAACGTTTAAGCAGTAAATTGATTGCCCCTACGGCTCATGCTAAACCCAATAAATGTAATCGTGCTCACCGATTATATCGTTGCGAAATCGTGCGCGATCGTGCACGTAATCGAGCTGCGTAAATTTCTCTGCCGGCGACACCGTGCAATTAAACAGAACGCGTCGGCTTACCAGCAAGCTCTCTCTCTCTCTCTAGAATAACCAAACTTTTAAGTCACCCGGTAGCTGGTTAATTCGAGGTTTTCGAAAATGAAAAGCCCAAACTGTGGCCGAGTGGGCGCACCACACGCGCTTCGAACGACTATTTCCATCTCTCGCAACTTTTCAAACCGAACCGTTCTTCCACGAGGCACATTAGGCTAAAAAATTTGGTTCACCCACTCGTCGAATGCTTTCGCGTACAGCTCGGTTCACGCCAACGGAAACTATACAACCCACTTGTTCGAAGTTTGCGAGAAAGAAAAGAAAAATGTGGCAGAAAGTAGTGGCTGCGAGAGTTGAGGCCAAGACGGAATTAAAGTGCTTCGCCATTCTCTACAAGCGGTTCCTTATCGATACGACGTTAACGAGATAATTCCGACCGGCAACGAAATTAAGCTTACAGGAGATTTTTACGATAAACCACTCCGGTTAACGACAGTACGCGCTTCTTTCCCGGCGAGTTTCTATGAAAACTGAACGATCGTTCGTGGAACGTTGTGAAAAAGATCCTTAAGGCAGAAGCCCTGATAGCGGCTAAATGAAAATGACTTCTTCATAACTGGAAGCGCAACCCCTTCTGTTTGAAAAAAGAAAAGGGGATACAACTGCCGTGGGAAAACTTCTTCGAACCAAGAGTTGCATCGCGCGATTTTCACCGAGAGACTATGTGTCTCGAAAGAATAAATTTTCGACAAGTTCTCCGCGAAACCGACGATACGAATCTTCCTACCGCTCGGAAGAATGGAAAATTCGAAAAATCCTCTGCGTGGAAAACGTGGAGAAAGATTCGTCCGTAGAGTTTCGCCTCTGTATCGACGAGATACGAAAAGGGTTGCACGGGTAAGACGTCGCGTAATTTTGCTTCCTTTGTTGCCTCGTCGGTATCGTCTCTCTTATCCCGGTGAATGCGCAGATGGAATTCACGAGCAGAAACACGAGCGTTTCTAAATTGAAAATTTGTCCGGAATTCGCGCTCTATCAATTGCCGTTCTCCTTGGCCCCGTAGAGAAAATTACACCCTGAGCTCTGGTTGCTGAAAGGGTCAGAGGTAACGAAGCAGCAGCACACCGGACAGGATACGCGCGAGTGTTACGGAGTCCGGCTGCTAATCAAAGAAATTCTTTTGAAAAAGAACCTGGTATCGGGCCTTTTTTCACCCCCTTTTTTCCCTACCGAAGATCAAACGTGCGTAACACGCGTTTTTCGTTCACTCGGCGAAAAAATTCCCGAGTTCGACTCGGGAACGTGAAATACAAAAGGACAGAAAGAAAGGGAAAAAAGGATCACACCGTGTATTATTTCGTTTCCGTGGGATTAATTTGACCGGTAGTTACAGCGAGTAAATTCGTTTATAGCTTGAGGCCGTAATCGATGATTTGGCCCTGGTTCAAACGATCAATCATCCGCTCGGCCAACTGTTGACCAAATGAAAGCGTTATTTCAAATGACACCAACCCCGTCCCGTAGCCCGGCCTCGGTTTAACCTTTAACCAGACTGTCAAATATGGGACAGGAAACATAAACTTCGGCTTGTGCAGTTACGCGAGCCGCGATTTGTACGCGGTATTTACCGGAAGCATAAATAACGCGACGATTTCGCTTCTCCCCTGTGTTACCCACCCCCCTCTTCGCCAGTTAATTATGACAATCATTCGAACTTGTCGATTGTCCAGACAATCGTGTTTCCGGCAATCCAGCGAAGCACGATGTTCCTGGATATTCCGTGTAATTTCATCCGCTGCGAATTAAAAATCTCGCAGAACATCGAGGAAACGAAAGCAGCTCGCGATTGAAAATTCCGGTTGAAAGGTAAATTGTCGATACGTTGACATAACGCAAGTTTCAACTAGAATCGGTCGTAACGGCCGCCGTGTGTACCTTTCGCGGCGTTTCAGATAAGCCCCGAAAAGCATCGGGATTAGTACAGGGCAATAAATCAGAATTAATTTCACCGTGGACGGTATCCCTTTTAACATTGAGTTTTACTTGGCCGACGAACCGGAGAATCGAAAAGAGAACGGAAAGCGGAGAAGAGAGAAATAGGGGATGCAAAAGGCGACGAGGTGGAAAGAGAGAGAGAGAGAAAGGGGACGACGAGAGAAGTCGAGGGAGATTCATAAATCCAAATAAACGTTTGGAGTCTCTTCTGCCTTGCAGATTTCAAACGATCGCGATTCCAAAGCGAATTCGAATATCCCTTTCTCTTCGGTTAATGTTCCTTTCAACGTTATTCATCGTTCCAACGTATGATTCAAGCCGCGGTGCAGGACAAGGGTCCATTAACGACGACTTGACATTTGAATTTTAAAGTAAATCGAGTCTGTCCATTATTACGCTCAACCCGACAGGTCATTTCTGCGTTGCTTGACGAAAAGTGTACACGCGGGATTTTCACCGAAAATGAACCGTGGTAACTTATAATCAGGAGTCGGTTTAACGTGTAATGGAAAATATCTCGTACGGTTCTCGTAACCGTAGATAGAATTGTCCTGCTTCTTTTCTTCCTTTTTCTTTTTAGGGAGAACTGTCGCGTAAAACTGCCCCCGGGGTTACGAAGGAATTAACACTAAGCACGGGGAAAATGCCGGATGTTTCCGGGGTTAAAGGAGAACGCTTGAATAAAAATGTGCACGTGCCGGCACTCATAAATCTCGGCGCGTACGTGACACTTCAACCGAGATTGGAAAGCTTAATCTTGCCCCACGGAAAATTGGCCCTTAACGATGCGCCCGCCCGGCTTCTATTCCCGATTCGACTAGAAATAAGCCAAACTGACGTGTCACTTTCGGACACACAGCCAGCTGAAAATAAGCACCGCGAATTTTCCCAATTTATATGAAAGCTGTACAAGGTGGCACGTTTGCAAAATCCTGCATCTGCTTCTCCGCGATACGTTATTTCCTTTAACAAGTACCGCATAATATTACAATTCGAACGAGTTGTAACTAATTCATTTGATCGATTATTTATTCCCGCGGAATCAGGATAACCGATGAATTATTCACGCAACCGTCGAATGCAATCTACTATAATTATGTGGCGCGTGATCATGACTGATACAAATACTGCCGTGTACTAAACTTCCACACGGAAGATTTCCCTTTGCCACGGAATAAATCTACAAATCTCTGGGGCAGTGTTTAACAACCATGTTTCACGTACTCCCTCAAAATCTGTATACAACTAACGTACGTTTTGTATAGATGGAACTACAGTTATAGTACAACAATGAGAATGAAATTTTGTTACAGACTCTGTTATCAAATCTAGCAACTTTCGAGCTCTCATAGCGTACTCCCAAAAATTTGACCGCCTTGAGAACCCTTGCACGAGGGGTTAAAAGTGCCTTCACCTTCGTGCAAGAAATACTTCGATTCCTCCGTGAAATATTCCCAAAAGAAGGTAAGAAAGAGTTATCAAGAAAGGTCAGGGGACCTAGACTCTAGACGAAGGTCCCGCAGGTTTGCAGCAAAGCATTCTAAAGGGTGTAGCCGGTCGTTATTTATGGGCCTAAGTAGTGGCAACCCCGAAGTGCCATCAAAGCCTTTTAATAAGGGAGTCTTCCCGTACCATATCCTCCGGCCGACACGTTATTACTTCGAATACCTGCATACTTGGAACGCTTCTCCGTCTGCTGCTTCCTTTCCATCCCTCACGAGCAACCCTTCCTCCATATCGCAGGATACACAAGCAGCAGAGTATAATATACGAAGAGAGGCGAGTGGAAAAACCGTGGCATGGAACGAAACGATCGGTTCATATAACGCTTTTGGAAAGCAACTGTGCCTGTCTGGCTGCCGTCATACGTACTAACACCTTCGGAAACCACGAAATCCCAAACCGACTGCTAGCAAACCCCTTTCCCGCGCATCCTCTTCCTCGATTCTCTGGACAAACCCTTCTAGCTGGCTGGCTGTCAAGCGCACAGCCCTCGGGAAACACCAAAGGTACGTCCGCGAAATTCCACCACGGACAGGAAAATGGAAACTGAATCCTCCTTGTCGGCCTGAATGGCCGAATGCAACGTCCACGCGCTGATTTGTCGCCGCTTTTCTCCGACGCGTTAACACGATAACGAGAGGTAGAGCGGGATTCTCCGCCTCGTCGTCGATTTCTCAAGCTGAGATTTCCAGCGTTACAAGTTAACGTTCTCGTAAAGAGGATCTCTCCTAACTTCCACACAGACATCTGCTACGTCCAACTTTTCTAATCCCTGGACATATTTGTGGAGTTTTCACAGACGAGATTCTTCGACGAACACTTTCCAACGCCGATAAAGTAGAGAGAGAGAGATGAAACACGAAATCTTGGGGAATTGTGATTAACCGCGGGTGAAATGGAACGGCACAATATTGACGAGTCGATAATACGCGCGACCCGGATATATGTCGAACTCGAGCTGTTTTCTCGTCGAATATCGAAATTATTTCTGCAACCGAACCGGTAACGAATCGTCGTTATTTTTGAATAAAGTAGAGGGCGTTTGTTAATCAAGCTGAACGTAACGACGAATCGATTGCGTAAATGAAAATAAGCGAGGCGTGTGTACAAAGGGAACGCGAGTTGGTCAGATGGACGCCTCTCGTTCAAGTTGAGCAATTAAACGAGCGCTCGATCAGAATTATTATCGTTCACCACGGTGATATACCGAATAAACATTCAATCGACTGGGTTTGTCGGTTGGACGGATAAGCTTGAAACGGTAAGAGATCAACGCTGAAAGCATGTTGTCGGGGAAATAACGTCGAGCTATCTCGAAAGATTTTCCTTCGAAACTCGGCAACGATCGGTTTCATCGATAAGGCTAGCGCGGAATGGAGGTCCGCTATGGTCGACAATATTCATCGTATGGGGTAGTAGCGCGCGAAATAAGGGTTGCGGATAAGATTATGGCGGCTCCCGTGGTTGTTCAGGGGATGTTAACGATCTGGAAAATCGTCCATATCGGGCAGCTTCCGCGTACAGCTCCCTATCCCGCTTCGTTCTTTTTTTTCCCCCCTCCCCGCTGACTCGCAGAGATAGAACAAATTGAACGTTCTATTGATATTGCATTTTTTCCATGTTTTTTTTTTCCTTCCCTGGTGATATTTCAGTAGAAACAATGTCAATACCGATATCGTACGTATTTTTAGCGTAGTATCAATACTATCCCTGGGTAACAGTTTTTCACGATACTCTGTAAGAAGAGACTACAGTAACTTCGATTTATATGCTCTATGAAAAAGCATTTTCCACCATTCCCAGATGTAATTACTTTACCAGTACGATTCTGCAAAACCTTCCAAACGAGTGTGTTTCACTTAGGTTGTTGCACGAAATTATACGGAACGAAAAAAGGAGGAAATTTGAGCGAACTTTGCAATGGAAATTACCGAAGGTAAATTTGGTTCAAAGCGAGGGAGGAATCAAAGCAGAATTAATCTCTCTCCCCCTCTGTGTAACATTTTTAACGAGCGTAATTACTGGGCCGAAATTGCAGCGCACAGCACTGTCTAAGAGACAACAGTAGCGGTACGGGAGGAAATACGTGGAGTATATCGACCACTTCCGGTTGACTTATCTGTATGCGTTCCGCAGTCGAAATTTCGGCTCGCACCAACTGCGTGCAGGAAGCTCTAGCGGGTCGATATCTCGATTCGCGTTCCGGGAACGGCGCTGTTTATGGACGGATGATTATGAGCTCGATGAATGTCCATCGGTAGGCTAACAAACGCGCGAATAGTATAAACGTTGGAATATTGCGACCGGGCATTGTAATTTTAGCGTAATTTACATCGCGACTCTCGCGTTCCTCTTGTATAAATAGCAATTTTCTAATCGCAACATTGCAACTAGATCAAAGAGCATTTAGGCTAGCCCGGATAAAAATCGAACGATCCGTAAGAATTCGGTCCGACAATCGTAGGATAAAACGGAGAAGAAGTAAAAAAGGGGGAGAAACTGGTCGGTCCGGGTTCCCTTTCATCCGAATTTCCCAGGAGTATTCAGGAAATTATCAGAGTCCCCGCCGAATATTCAGGTTGAAGAATTTACGCAAGTACGGTACGATATCCAGTCTCTCTCCTGTACTCTTGCTCTTCTTCCTTATCCACCCTCAAACTCTCCGCCTTGAAATATCGAAATTACGTGGCTCGATCCTCGCGTAGATTCGTCGGTGAATCGACGAGCCAGAAATTTCCTAACCCTGTTATTACGGAATCGCCCTGTCTAATAGTTGCTATCTAGCAGTAACGTGATAATCTGATATCAGTGGAAGGAGCAGAGGGAGAGAGAGAGTAAATTTACGATCGTCAAAGATGATAGAGAAGCGGGATCGCTGACGTTCGACACTTAATACTACCCTTTGGTCGATCTCTCGTTTTAAAAAAGATCCCCCGACTGAAATGCTCGATCGAATGTTTACGCGGGAAACCCTATGTGAGGAGGCACGGCCGATTTAATCCGCCTTTTTAAAGGGATTAAGAGGAAATTTCATTGGATTTCGATAAAACACTTTCAACAAACTCGATCGGCCGTACGAATCGTTTAGCAGTACTACTTTCGCAGTAGCACAAACGGTGCAAACTGCGGTGGCTCCCTTTTTCTTTCTCCTTCTTGTCACCGTTGTGGCTTATCGAGTAATCAGCCGCTGATTGATCCGGCCGCTCTCTCTCCTTCCAGGATAGAGTTCAATTAAAATTCCACCGATCGCTCTACCTCAGATGTCTGTGACATAGTTTTCAAGGGTTCGTGCAGACGAACGTGGAGAAATATGGAACTCTGAAAATATGTAGGCGAAGGAAGGAAATCGCGATACGATTCTCACTCGTGAGATCATCTTTCTTCTTTTCACGAGGCAAAGGCGTATTCTTGATCGATGTAACGTTAATTTCTAACGAAAATAACGAAAGATCGACGAAGGAAAATTCACGCGAAACGACGCTTATGGTTTGGATAATTTTTTTTCGGGATCGACGCGCGCGAGCTGAATCGAGAATCGTTAATTTCAGGCTCGAAAACCTTTCCGGCCAACTGGACTATTCCAAGCGTCTGCTTTCAGTCACGAGTAGCACGCGCTAATTAATTCGCCGAAGCAGTCGTCCAGAAAATAAACCGTTTCACTCGACAACTGCTGCTGCTGTTGCAACTGCGTTCGCCCCTCTTTCTTCCTCTCTCTCTCTCTCCTTTTTGTTTTGTTTCATTTACGATAATTGTTGTGCAAGCTCGTTTCCTTTCTTGTTCCCTTTTTCGTAGAACGAAAAATCCCCCGGATCGGGGCAGAAAAATTTTTTACCGTCAGAGAGATCACGCTCCAATAATAAATCTCGATTGGGAACAGACGAGATTTCGGTCACTGGGAATCGCTCAATTTTTTTCCACGATGCTGTATACCAATTTCCGTCCCGGAAATACGAGTATTTGCTCTAAAGGTTCGAAATCTCTACCCGAAAAATTACACACGCGATCCGAACGGGGGGGGAAAAAAAGGAACACTTTTTTTCTACTTAATTTTGCGCGTAATTCAACCGCGAAAAAATTCAACATGTTAATCCGCTCTTCTTTTTCTTTTATAGAGAAAGTTCGACCTCTCTCTCGCTATCATCGTCGCCGTGTTCATGCTCGCGGTCTCGCGCGTGTGCCACGACGATATCACGCTTCCAGCCTCGTTTACTCGGTAAATTAAATACGAATTAATCCCATTTTCCTGAAACGCGTACGAAAGCGCACGGTTTTAAACCGGCTTCCCTGCCCCCTTTTACTTTCGTTATAGCGAAACGCGTCTAATTCCATTATTACGCGGGCAGGACCGTCCCTTTGTTTGTTTTAATTTCCAGCCGACGTTACCGCTCTGTATTTGCCCCGATTTTTCGGGGTCGTTCGTTAAATTCCACCGTAATTCCCTCACGCGGAAATTTCGTACAACTCCGTTACTCGAATTATGACTCACCTGCTATGCAAACCTACGCTTTTGCCTTTTTCCCTGGAAAAATCGTCACGAAAAAGAGAGGCACTTAATTAGGAGATACGAAACACTCGAAGAGTCGTAAATTTAACTCACTCTTGAACAAATTTCCTTGTAACGGTCAGTATTAACGCGAACGTCGCTCGAGAAGCGAAATCTAAGAAACACGGACAATGTGTCGGCGAATATTAACTCACAAACGGAGATAAGGATCGAATATTGGTATTACTCGAAAAAGTTCTCAGTCAAGATTTGACCAGCCTCTGCACGAAAGAGGATCGGAATCGATGACCCGATAGAAAATGAACCGGATTAAACTATTTTTACACCTTTACCGGAAGGAAGTATCAGTATCGAGGAATTATTAAAGAGCGGTAATTGGAAGAAAATGAAAGACAGCTGGTCCCGATGAGAATCGACTGGAATCGTAGACGTTGTTTGACAAAATCGGAATAATTTAAAGGAACATCGAGTTCGGGTCGAAGGTTGGATTATCGACACTTAGGTCTGGAAATAATTTACAATTTACGTCGTGGCCGGGTGACGTGGCGCGTAACACGATTTCCATCTTGCCGCGGATGCGACGAGGAGGAGAAGAAGAAAAAGTAGAAGTGAACGGTAAGAGAGTAAAGCCAGACGAAGTGCAGGCGCAAAGAAGAAGTGCGAAAAGAACGAGGTCGTCGACCGTATCTCTCTGGTCCGCCCCGCTTCTTTTTCCCCTTTCTTTTTTGCTTCTCGTTACATCGGCCAAGGGAAAACAGCCTCCGCTCTACTCGACACCTTTCGACCTCGCGAGGCCCCTGGCCTGATCCAATCGCACCCTCGAGAGCAATTATTTAAATCAAGGAAAACAGCGGAGGAGCGCGCAGACAATTTTTCACAACTAGAAAACTAGACGAGCTAGAAACCGATTCGAACTCGGATTATACCAAACAGAGAGCTGTTCGATTGGAATTGCTTGCAACTTTGCACGCTATCGAGAGAGACAATCTCACTATCTCGAAGACTAAGGTGCAAATTTTTTCTCTCACACTATCGAGAGAGACTCTTAGACTACCGAGAGAAACTCTCAGACTACCGAGAGAGACTCTCTCACTCTCGAAGAATAAGGTTCAAATTTTTTCTCTCACACTATCGAGAGAGACTCTCAGACTACCGAGAGTGTCTCTCAGACTACCGAGAGAGACTCTCTCACTCTCGAAGAATAAGGTTCAAATTTTTTCTCTCACACTATCGAGAGAGACTCTCAGACTACCGAGAGTGTCTCTCAGACTACCGAGAGAGACTCTCTCACTCTCGAAGAATAAGGTTCAAATTTTTTCTCTCACACTATCGAGAGAGACTCTCAGACTACCGAGAGTGTCTCTCAGACTACCGAGAGAGACTCTCTCACTCTCGAAGAATAAGGTTCAAATTTTTTCTCTCACACTATCCAGAGAGAGATTCTCAGACTACTGAGAGAGACTCTCAGACTACCGAGAGAGACTCTCTCTTTCTCGAAGAATAAGGTCGAAATTTGTTCTCTCACACTATCGAGAGGAACTCTCTCACTCTGAAAGAATAAGGTCCAATTTCTTTCTCTGACACTCACCAAGTTCTGGACCGCAGACCCTCGGTATAATCTCCAGGATTGCGCTGCAGGATGTATCCTCGAAGCACAACTGACGCGCGTAAAGACAGTTCAGCATTTCGACCGGTACTTTGATGTCGGATCCTGAAAGCAGAAGTACCGTCGCAGACATTAGCAATAAAGAAGAGATAAAGTATCGCAGTTTATGAAGGGATACGTTCGAAAGAAACGAACCCGCGAAAGTAGCGAACGAAGAGAAAGGTTTTATCGCTTGGAAAAGTCATTAATACAGCGGTTGGTCATAGAAGAAGGAGATAAATAGAGAATATCCGGAAAAGGAAGGGGAAAGATAGATGCGTTAGACGCGGTTAGATTCAGGTTAGAACTTCTATATATAACAATAGGAGCCTTAATGTTAACAACAGCGATCCCGCAGATAAGGAAACTGTGAAACCCGAAAATAAGTAAAAACATGAAAACATTCTAGAAGAAGAAAAAATACTCGATGTTTATCACCGACCGTTGTTATTATTTCTGGACACACAATAACATTATCGCTGTAATATTTTCATTCCGAAGAACGCAAACAATTGATAATTGTACTCGGCAAATAGCGTAGAGGAGAAACTATTTTTCTGTTCGATATCGTTCGATCGTGAAGAGCGGCGATCAAGATAACCGAATGATCGAAATTATAATGGCGGAGTAGTTGGATCGAGGCTAAAGATTCGAGCAATTTGATTAAAGCAATTTAATTTCGTCTCTGTCGATAGTGTACGAGAGGAGAAATGGGGACGGTGACGCAACTTCCGGTTGTTGATACGCGTAGCGCCGCAACGAAAGCACACTCGCGTAAATTGGAGCAAAAAGAAAAAGAAGGGTGAACGAGAAGAGCAGGTCAGAGGAAAGTGATCGCGATTTTCCACTCTTGCGAATTGTTTTATACGAGCGACTACCTCGACGTTTGCAATTATTCATTCGCTTCTTACGTGCATCGCATTTTATCAAAGCAGACGAAAAAAGAAGGAAAAGGAAAAAGGAAGAGCGCGCGGCAGAATTGAAAAGCAACAACCATAGCGTAGACGAGAGGGCGGAAGGGCACGAGAGAGAGAGAGAGAGAGAGAGAGAGAGAGGGAAAATGGAGGACGAGGCACGGAAGAGACAGGAAAACTGTGCGCGCGGACCCTCACGGATTTTTACGAGCCACTCGCGAAACGGAAGTCGATAAAAGAAGAGCGCCCGCTCGCTGTAATTAATTACGAAACGTTCGCTACCGCTGGAAACAGCCATAAAAAAAGGAAATGCACTATCTCGTATATATTCCTCTCTCATAGCAGTCGTCGGCGCATATCCCGACACGGTACCGTTCCCCGGAAGATGGACGGATTTTTCGAATCGTAAATCGAATTCGAGC